TAATTGAAACATCTATGTATCTACACAGAATACATCAACTCTGGCGCTGATGCTGTTGCATCATTTACCGGCAAAATCGGCGTCAACGGAGGATGACAACGAAGGCAGTGACGCCGTTTGGTAGCGGTGGCGGATTATGTTAGGGCTTACACACTTACCACTGACCAGCTGACGGTGGAGCTAATTATGTTGCTGCTTCTTTCATGCCTTAAGCTCTGACCAGTCACGACGAGTAGAACGAGTAGACAGTAGGAAAGCGTGCATCTAATCCAATTTGCTCTAGCAAACATTTTCAGTTGATTTTCGAGCGTCAGGCATGTTGGTTGATGTAAACATTGTTCGGTGGCGGAAAACGAATTGTTAAATTAAGCATTTTGTGATCGAAGGCAAAAATGTGACGGTGAAAAGGTGAACACCTTCCAATAAGTGGTTGATTTTAAAAAAGTGGGAAATGTTTAAAAATAGATACTTTTATACATATCTATTTTTGCACAAATTATAAAAATATTATCTATAAATAAATTATTCTCATATAAATTTAAACGTTACTAATGGCAACAGATATACTCTGTGGTAAGGAAAGAAGAATTTTTGAAAACAAAATATACAAATTTATGAGCTTGCGCCTATAATATAGTAAAAGATTATTAAGACGATATAATAAATAATTTTTTTTGATTTACGTGTTTTCTTTTTATATTAATATCAGATTTTCTTCAAACCCGCCTAATTGTAGGCAATGTTTTGTGTTTGAATTTTACATATTTGGTTTAATTAAATTCGCCTGATTATAGGCAATAATATTTGTAGATTTTTTACAATCATAAAGAAAAAAACAGATGTGGTCTGTAGAAAGGAAAATTTTGAAAAAGAGTAGTATGTGAAGTATAGTAGTACAAAGTATAATGAATTGAAAAATCGAGTTTTCATGCGATTATTTTTTATGATATCAGCTTTATTTCGCAGCGCCTAGGTATCGGCAACGTTTTTGTTTAATTTTTATATATCTGACTTTACTTAATCCGCCTAATTGTAGGCAACTTTTTTGTTTAATTTGTACAATTATAAAGTGAAAAATTCTAGCCTAGAGTAGATTAATAGAAAATAAACCATAAAACCTGAATATTTAACAAAATTACGAATAAATATTTGGAGAACAAGAACATTTTTTAAAAGATTCAGGCAAAATGAAATTTTCCGGTAGACCTTTCTTTCACAAAAAAATTTAACGAAAAATTTATAGATGCCAAAAAAAAAAAAATATAAAAAAGGGATATATTTCAAAAAGATATATACAATCGTTAATTTAAAAAAATTAATTTGAAAAGAAGAATTAAAATTTATATATTTCAAAATATTTTCTAAGCTCTTTAAATGCACAGATTTACGTAACTGAAAAAAGCTACTACTAAGCTTTATTAAATATCCCTGAAGAGACAGATGTTCAATTTACATTTAAATTTCATTATAAATGCAAAAGTAAAAATAAAGGAAGTAATAAGGGAGTTTCAGCACGTGTGAAAAAGGTGAAAGAAGCGCTATGAATTCCCGCCACTTTTTCTTTGCCAACAAAAATATATGAACTTTCTACAAAATCCACCCCTAATGTATGGTAGCTAAAGCTATAAGAGTATTACGAGCGGAGAAAACCGTAAGTTATGGAGACAAATTATCAAAGGTGATACAATTCGGATGAAGAAATGACCTTTGATAGCCGTACTGCTGTATGAGAATCTCTAAGCTACACACTGTACCTTGGGTGAAAGAGCTTGCAAGCAATTCTAAAAGTCAGTTTTACACGGAAGAACTATATATAAATACAATTACATAAATGTAATAAAAAAATATTAGTTACGAATAACTTAATTTTCGATAGTTATTCTCGTGTACTTTTAGAATTGCTGGCTGGCAAGATATAGGTATATGGTATAGCTTAAAGGTTTTCATACAGCAATACGGCTTTCAAAGACTGTAAGGAATTCCAGGACTGCAGAAGAATTTTCATTGTGTTCTATGAAATACTGTAGATAAGGAATAGAGAAAACGGTTGCCTACATTTAGGGCAATCGTAGAAAATTGTTGCCTACATTTGAACTGATGATTTTATATAAACAAAATTTGGATGCACCATAATTTTGTACTGGTTATCACTTCAATTCAGTAAAACTGCTTCCAAAAAATCATAAAAACTTCACTACCGAACGTATCATGATATTTCCTTGCCAAGCTGTAAGTGTAATTAAGAATATAACATCTTTTATACCTTCTATGGGAAATGTTTATGTAAATTTATTTCAATTGCAATATTTCACCTACCATTTGTGCACTTTTTGTTTATTTACATATTTCTATAGTTTTTCAAAGAAAAAAAGGAAAAGGAAGGAGAAAAAAGCATACAAAGTAAAACATTCAGCAAACTTAACCAAATGGAAATCCAATTCAAATGTAAGTCAAGTGATGCCGCCGACCTGATGCAATGCATCTGTCATTCATTCATTCATTCACTCATTCAGTCAGTCAGCAGTCTTCAAACACTCAAACGTTCAACAATGACAAAGCAACACTGTTGCAATGGGGTGAACATACCTAACAGTATACCTGTATATGCAATATACATGTATGTACATATGAATGCAATCACACATTTGTTTGCTTAAATATAATGCCATTGTGCACTGCCACCAAGCAAACATCAGTAATTGTAGCGGCGAATGCTGAGAGTTGCAACTTAAAAACAAAGCAACAGATTTTATTGCAGACAGGCGGACTTTTGTTGCCGCTAAACTGATGTCGCCAACACATTGTAATTATTTGTATACATATATGTATGTATGTTTTTTATTTTTCTTAGTGCAGAAACATTAAAAAATTTTCTTCCAAACCTACATACATATATCGAAGAGCAGATGATGAAAGTTAAGAGTGGCACTGTGGTATAGAGTTAGAGAAATTTTCATAACAAAAAAAAAAAAAAATATTTTTGAGGCATTTGGATTTCATATGGAGAGCTACATGGCTCGTCGAGTTGAAATTTTTGGGGGGAAAAATAAGTTAGTTCTAGGTATCGCTAAAAATATTCAGTTTCCTCCTTTAGTCTTTAAATATTTTCAATAAAAACGTAATAAGAAAATCATCCCACTTGAGACCTTAAAAGTAAATGTAGACGAGATTTTAGACTAAAAGTCAAATTAAACGATTTTTTTTTGGATTATGATTCGTCATGTCTTTCTTGATCTTTTAGAATCAGTTGGAGCGACATAGGAAGCTCAACTAACATTTACTATCATTTCTGCTCAACTTTGCCATTTATAAAACATCAGAATGCTGTGTCTTCTGACCTGTACTCGTCACATATAGATTTCTTTCCACTGATCTTAACTTGAAATAATCATTTCTTAACTGAAACTTAATACAGTAATTCAACCCACCATCTTTAAGAGGTAACAAAATATTACCTCCCAACACTGTTAAGTATCCCGATGTAATCTTTGATAAAAAATCACTCAGCTGGAGGAAACGTGTTGGAAGCAGAGGCAATAAGCCGTTGCGGTTCGGAACACCTGAAGAAGAGCTATTGCACCAGAAGAGCCGCCTATAACTTTGCATGGTGTTAAATTTGGAACAGGTACAATTTACTTGTCGACTTGATGCAGCGGGCGCGATCTCACCTCAACTACGCTGTGGAAGCCACCCTTGACATTATGGTAATTAATATACAAGCTTTTTATGAAGCAGTCCAGTCCCCCAATTGTGAGAAAACATGACAGTATTGAGGAAATTATATCAGATTGGAAAATGGTATCGAAAGAGAAAAAATAAAGATTCTGCCAGGTAGACGTCACTTACTCTTTCCCTAGTAGGGAAGTATTGGGTGGGACTCTATACTGATGGGTCTAAATACGAGGCAAACATAGGAGCAGGCTTCTTCTTTGACCACCCAAATAACCAAGTTTCGATGACTACAATTCAGTCACCCAAGCAGAGATTGTGGGCTTTACATAATCAAGTGTGACAGCATAAAGTCCAAAGTCATACGAAAATGCAAAGAGGCTATCACCATAATATCACGCGGAAACACAGTGTATATCGATTGGGTCCCATGTCACAAGGGAATGAAAAGATGGATGAGCTGGTTCGTGCTGGCCCTGCTGGTGATTTTGTCAACACTGACTGCCTCAGACCTCTAAATTTGAAATATTCGCGGTCCCTGCGGAGGGTGGACTGCAATAAGTTTTTTTTTCTTTTAATTGTAGATGTAAGTCTAGACATGATCCTCCGATTGGTATCACTTTGTAACCGCTGAAACGATTTTCGGCCGAGCTCTTCCTCCAATTTATGATTTAACGTCTTGATGTTTTTCCAACAAATCAAGCGACCTACAGCTTATACTAAACAGCCTTCGAACGGCTGATCGTTTTTATGAGGAGCTTTTATTTCAGGTCAGATGTACACTCAGAGGGGTTAAAACTCCCTGCCAAGGAGCGACCGCATTTATTTATTATTTGAAATAAAAAAATTCTCGGAGGCGGCTTAGCATAAATTGGGGTATCTTGAAAAAAAGGAAGATCCAACTAAAAAAGTTCTTCACCCATACACTTTACACCACTGTGCACTGCCATCCGCCGCTAAAACCAACAAGTATCAGAGATGGTTTTTTGGTTATTTGTTTTGCTATTTCGCAATTGACTGAACACCAACCCCAAGCGCACAAGCGCTGCGACGTTATGTTGTTGCCCAGAGTCAGCCAGTCAGCATGGCAAAGTCGCTTGCCGGCAAAGTGAGCTTCAGCTGCAGTGGTGTATGACGGTGTCAGCAGAGACGATAGTGACGGTGACTGTGACGGTGACTGATTGGGGCGCTTACGTTACACCGGTCGAGTATGTATGCATAAGGTGTTGATGGTGGTGGTAGTAGTGCTGCCGCTACATTCGCTGCTGCTCTGTAGCTACGGGCACTTACGGCGTGCCGCAGCAGTAGTACAGCCGAGTACAGTGGTGTAGTGTGGAGCTGGCAAGTAAGCAAGCAAGTAGGCAAACAAGCGAGCAATTCGCATGGCCAAACAACCAATCGTCCGTTGGTTTCTGTTTTCAGTTGTTTTTCAAACGCTAAACGTGTTGGATCGTCGCATGCGAATACGGAGTAAAGGTGAAATACGTGTAAGACTTTTTTTAATGAAAGTGTACTGAAGAAAAAGAGCTTATAAATTGTTTTGAAATTGATATTGAAATATGTAACACAACAACAACAAATGTGTTTAAAGTCGAAATAAGCAAGGTAGCAATAAATGTAGTGTGAAATGAGTATTTAAAGTTATCAGCTGTGTGCGAAAAGAGCAATGGGTTAGAATACACTTACATACATACATGTATATATATATATATATGGATATGCATATATTTATATATGTGCTTATAATTGAATAGTAAGCGCATGCAAAATACATACAACGCCGCTATGTGTCGTTAAATTTGCACAAACAAAAAGACAATAATAAGAAAATGAAAAAAAAAAAAAATTAAAAAAAAAAAAATTATAAGTGAAGGTAAACCGGTGAACAAGTTGCTGCTGACTGAACTGCGGAGTTAGGCTGTGTGTTGTGTTTGTTATTTGCTCCTTTTTGGCGCGCCACGCGCTCAGCTGTGCAGTAACCTCGACTTTGGTGCAATCATTTTAATAAACAAATTAACAAAACGAGTTTTTGGCAATGTTATCATCGAAATATAAATAAATTCATATGCCGAAAGCAAAGTTATAAAGGCGCAAAAAATTAGCGATAAATGAAATAAATAAAAGAAGAATTTATGCGAAAATGTCTCGAAAAAAAATATAATAAGAAATACTAATATTAATATAAAATATTTAAATAATTACCAAAAAAAAAAGAAAATTAATCGAGCTTACAGTTTAGAAAAATTACTTGCGAGATTGAATAAAACTATTTTTATTTTTATTTTTATGTTTATTTCAATTTTTTTACCTTGATATGCAGCTCTGTAAAGCAAGTCTCATGACGAGATTGTGTTAAAAAAAATAAAAAAATAATAATTAAACTTTAAAGTTCAGAAAAATGTTAGCACATCACATGCATAATTGGAAATAGCCGTTTTTGGTATTTTGTTTTTATAGAACACCAATTTTTCATTTTCTTTAAAAAATATTTCCTTCATAATTTTTTATCAAACCAAAAAATTGTTAATAATGTAATATTGGATCATAAGGATCATAGGTATTGAATGTAGGTTTTTTTTTGAATATATATTTTTTTTAAATATCGTTTTTCGTTTGAGTTAAAAAATACTAATTATCTTTGAAAAATATGTCTCTTATAATTTTTAAAACATTTCAAAATTGTTAAGAATGTAATATTGGAAGATATAATGAAGAATTGGAGGCAGGTTTTTTCTTTAAATATTTTTTGGTTAACTTATACGTACAAACTCCTTTTTCATTTATATTTTTTTTTTGTTTAAAACACCATTTTTCATTCGAGTAAAAAAAATAATTTCCTATTATTATGTGCTTTTGTTTTCATCTACACACATATAATTAAATTTTGCAAAAAAAAAATATAAAAAAAATAGTAAACTGCAATATACAAAATTTAATATTCTTTTTTCTTGTATATTTTTTTTGTACCAAAACAAAGTTTTTCCTCTTTTTTTTAATTAGATAGAGAAGTGGAAAAAGTATACTAAAGTTGCAGAAATAGAAAAAAGTGTTTAGTTTTGTTTTTTTTATTTTAGATATGTTCTTTTTTGATATTTTTCCCTTTTACAAAAATCTTAAATATAGAAAACTAGTAATTAAAAAATTAAACAAATAACTATATAAATTTTTTAAACATATATTATTTTTATAAAATATATTTTTTTATAAATATTAAATGAAAAGTTTTTTTTTTTAATTTTCCTCTTTATGCTTATACAATAAATCATTAAAATTCAATCAAAATTATAGTAAATATATTTAATGACATTTAATATTTATTACCTTTGAAATGTGCGTATGTATTACATCGTTTTTCGTTTTTAATTCGAAGAAATAAAATAATTAAAAAAATATGGCATTTAGCTGAAAGTATTTCAATAATTTTTATAAATTTTACGATAATTTAATAAAAACTAGAAATTGCATAATTTAATTTTGCCACATTTAAATAATAATATTTTCTTAAAAATTAAATAATTATAACAATATACATATGTTGTGTATGTACTTTTATACTTTTTTTGTTAAAAAATGTATTTTGTCTCCACAGTGTGTAATTCTTCTTTTTAATTTTAATTAAAAAAATAACACAGCATATAAAAAGATCAAAATAAATAAAATAAATACGAAGTGTGTCAAATAATTAATGAAAAGTGTATATACTATATTTATATTAAGAGCAAACATAAAATTTGAAACCAATCAGAAGCCGCATTAACGGGTTTACGTGCTGTTGAAATTTGAGTCATTTGCGAGAGCTCGTGAATTTTATTTTTCGGAAGCCACTTGTATTTATGTGTACATAACACGTATGTACATATAACGTATGTACATATAATTATGTATTGTAAGTGTACGTCTAGAACTCAAAATTGAAAATTATTTACATAAATACATGTGTTTATAGATATGTACTCGTATGTACATATGCTATATATAAAAACGTCTGTATAGTCATAAAAGCAATATTTTTTTTTTATAATCTGTAAATATGTACATATGTATGCATGTCTGCTTGCCGTTATAAAAATCATAAAACAATAAATAATAAAACCGCCATTCGTAATGCCATTGGAAATCGAGCCAAAAATATGTATAAAAAATGTAAAAAAAATAGTAGAAAAAAATATATTTAGCAAATTAAAGAAAAATCTAAAAAATGGAAATAAGCATGCCCTTGTGATATCAACTCTTCTTCACACTCACCCACATCAATGCTTTTGTTGTTTGTGTGCATTATCATCGCATCACCCGCATTTCGCCAAGCCGCGCCACTCAGCACATTCAATTGTTTTGTTGATGATGTCATTAAACAACAAAAAGTAAAAACAAAAAAAAATATTTTTTTTTGCGTGTAGCACGATCACTTGATGAAGTCATAGGCAGCGAAAGGGAATGAGTATATTTGCGGCAAATTTGAAACACTCAACTATGACACACACACACACATACCTGAAACAACTAAGAGCATGATCGCTACACTTACTGCTGGCGTAAACTTGTTTATTTTATTTAAAAGCAACTCAGCGATTTTCCTAATAATCGCTTTAGAATTCTTTTTCAAAAGAAATTGAGCATACAAAAAAATTTAAATTAATTTCAGCGCTCACAAAAGAGCAATAAAACAATTTGTTAGAAATTTAAGAAAAAAAAAAGAAAAATAATTAAATAAAAAATGAAAATGAAAAGTAAAAAAGTAAATAAGAAGAAAAATAAAAAAAGTAAAAAATTAAAAATAAGAAACTAAAAGCACTCAAATAAGCTCTCCAGCAATCTTTTGAACTTCGCCTGTCAGCGTAAGTTAATCTGCCAATGACGTCACTCGCTTCATTTCACTCACGACAAAGTGCTGCTGCTGCTTCTTTTATGCTAAATATATACCAAAGTGTATATGTATTGTACATACTTCAATATATATCGACAGCTCAACTTGTTATTATTAAATGTTTAGAATAATTAGACCGAAAGCGACAGGCGATTGCCATTGGCATTGGAAAGGTGCTTAGTTGTGACTCAACTGAACGCTTGCGATCGTTTGGAGGCAAAATAATGTATTCATAACATACATACATACATATTTACATAAATGGCATAACACATTCAATTACTACTTATTAATTTGTTATTTTTAAGTAGTTTTTTGTCGGCTTTTCATTCCTGAGAAAACATTTTTCTTCTGCCATACGTATATACATATGAGTATATATGTATAGTGTTAATATGTATTTTCACTAAAAAATACCATGCGACTCATAAAAATAGATTAAACTGTCTAGAAGTGCGGAAAATTCATGTGAGATTAGTAATCCCTCAAATAATTTTCAATTTTCTCGTTCAATGCGCTCATAAGTGAATAGTGAATGCATCCGGGATCTTATGCGTCGCTTTGGAATACAATATTTATGTGAGCCCTTAGCATTTGAATAGTTTTGTTATTCTATGCAGACAGTTCTTGTTTATTTGAGTGTGGAATTCTGTGAATGTTGAGGAATCAAGTCCAAATAGGAACTTGGGGAGTGAAGATGAGGCCTTAAAATGCAAGATTTGCTTTTTGTACTTGTGACTTGTGATCGATAAATTTGAACAAAAATACTCACAATATTCATGGGGAAACTGTCATTCATAGTCTCTTATATTAGGAGCACTGATATTAAGGTCGGTGTAATAATTACGAGCTATTAATGGGATTGAAACAGCTTTGGTTAGATAGAAGTTGTTGCCAATAAGTTTTGGTTATCTAAGAATGCGACTCCAGCGCGCATTTACATTATTGGTAAAAAAATTGCTTCTTCCCACTCCTTATTCCTACAACATCTTATGAAATGAGCTCCTAGCCCTTTTTCATGCCGTCCCATAAGGTAACATCCCATCAAGAAGCTATATACCTTTGAAATCTGCCTGTATTTTTGACTCTTCGCCCTTATTCCCCGACTTATAAAAGGCCAAGTTTTATTGCCACCTTAATGGGGCCTATCTGTGAACGCATGCCTTTAGCAGCGGTGTTCCATGTGCCAAAGCCATACCATTGCGTTTCTTAATGGTAGCATCCGTAACCGGAGACCCAAACTCTGTGAAGAGATCTGTGACAATCGAATACGATTTTAGACTTTGTGGTGATCAGCTGTCACGACTGTGATTGAAGATGAAGGTATCTCTGCCTAAGCATACGTTTCCAGTGTGTTTAATAGCTTCCAGTTTTGCAGAAGCTTCGGTCTGGAATGCATTACCATGATGTATCACTCGAATGAAAGTTCCGATGAAGAACTGGGTGAGAAAATCGATCAATCAAGGTTTACACCATCTGTATAAATTTCATTGCCTATTCTTTCCAGCCGAAATCGGTATAATAAAGTAGAAGCAAGTATCCATCGTAGTTGTGCTGCCTGGCAGAAAGGTATGAGAGCATAGAACTCTAGAGTGCAACTCTTTTTGCTACTTTAAGTGAAGAGCAGACATCGAAGCCTTTTGATGTGTTGTCAATTCTTTAATCAGGAATTACGTTTAGAGTTGTATTGAGATGAAGTTTTCACGATTGTGAATCACTACAGTAGTACGTCAGAGTAAGGGCCTTATCATGAAAAGAAAATCCAGCTGCAAATTCTGGCACTTAAAATCGTTTTTTTTTGCTTAGCTTCTTTACCGTCAAGAGGGCTCATCATTTTTCTCTGAGTTAGGTGCTTATTTCAGCTTGGTTTTCTGCTTGACTCGAACTTGACTTGAAATACTTTGCTAGCCCCCAGTTTAAGGCGAACGCCATTTAGAATTTACGGATTGATGGACAGAATTTTGTACTTTCTGATGAAGATTTTGAAATAACTTTTCGGAAAAATATTCGACTGCATGAAGAGAGTTTTGCAGCCCTGAGCAGTTCTCTTTTCTCTTCACTTTATTGCTATAAAAATTTATGAGAAGGTACAGAACGATATTTTCTAGAAAGACGAGTTAGTTTGAAAACGTGAAATAGATATTTGTATCTTTCTTAGATTTTCCAAAGATTGGTTATTAATTTCAGACTGTTACTAATAGATTATGGTATTGATAAATCTAGTGCAATATCATCTCAGTAAAAGCTGGCGATTACTTGATTTTTTTCATTGTCTTCTTCTCAGGAAATGCCAAACCCTCTGATAATAATACCATATAAATTTAACACTGATACCCCGCTATATATTCCTATGACCTACTAAATTCTAAATAGAAAATAATTAACTATTTTACGATGCAAAAATACCAGTTTACCCTCATTTTAGTCATGCCACATCAGTATGGAGACAATCTGTCTTACATATGTACACTCTGTCCATATTATTCCAAGCATATAAACCGACAAAGTACCCATACATTGTCCACCAATGTGTAGTTGTATTGAAAAGTAATTTATGACACAGTTTAGCTCAATGCAAAAACAAAGAAATAAATAAAAAATGTGCAAATTCCATGAAACTATCGACATTTCTCTGCGCTTTCTTCAATCAACCCTGTTTGGGTTTGTGGTATTTTATCGCTATTTTTGCGCGAGTATGTTCGTATGTGGAAATGATATGTATTGCTTTATGTATTTGACGTAGATAACGAGTCATAACGGTGCACATTCATTGGAATCTTATCTAACGTAGGTTATCACCTGTTGACGAGCTTTCGAAAGTGTAAGGGACAGATAAAAATTGTTTGTATATCGAGCGGTACATACACGTACATATAAGGTAATATTTTTAAAAGTGTAAGAACTCACTAAATATCTGATGATTTCATTGTTAATAGTAGGACGCAAAAAGAACATCAAACTACAAAAGGAAATTGCTAGCTCTTTCCCCAAAAATCTATATTTGCAAAAAAAGAAAGAAAGCAAAATAAATGAAATGGTTGCCTCTAAAAGCTAAAAGTAATCATTGTAATTATTTCCACAAGCAATTCCATTGTGGCGCGCATTATTACTATGTGTTACGGTAATTCTATATTTATTTTTGAAAAAGTGCAGTAAAAGGTGTTATTAAGCACACCAAAAGGAACAATGTAATTGGAAAATCGTTGTACTTACAAGTGTCGATGACTTACAACGCGCTACAAGCCCAAAAGAGAAAAAATGATAAAAAAACAATGACAACGCCTTCATTACTATTTTTTTCAGATTTTCGCCGGCCATCAACAAATGTGTAAAATAAACAAAACATAAGTGCAAAAAAAATACAATAGAAAAAGAATTAGAACACCAAAGCTCTTAAAATCAGTTAATGAAATAGCAGGTGAAAATAACTGTGAAGAAAAAGAAAGAGAACAAAATTCAAGACTACGCTTCAAAAAGAAAGGAAACTCGAACTAGAAAGGTAAGACAAATCGATTTTTTATTTTGAAAAATATTAAGTAGCTGAAAAAATAGAATACAATAAAAATGCATAAAATATAGTAAAAATATATGTTAAAATAAAATTGAGCAAATAAAACAGAATAAAAATAGGTAAAAGGAAAGTAAAATAAAATATAATAAAATAAAATAAAATAAAATAAAATAAAATAAAATAAAATAAAATAAAATAAAATAAAATAAAATAAAATAAAATAAAATAAAATATATTAAAAGGAAATACAGTAAAATAAAGTAAAATTAAATTAAATAAAATGTGTAAAATAAAATGAAACTAATTGGAAGTAAATGAAATATAATAAAATTCACTAAAATAAAAAGAAACAAAATTAAATAATAAAAAAAACCAAAATAAAATATAATTATATATATGCCATAACGACAAATTAATATAAAATGCTTTCAAGTCAAGACATATTAAAGAATTATAAGAAAAATAGAATAAAATTGATTAAAAAAAAAATAAAGTAAAATAATTAAAAAATAAAATAAAACAAATTATAATTAAATAAACAAGTATGAAATAGTCAACAAATCAAAGTAAATACAATAGCAATAGTAAATAATATTATTTTAATACGAAAACAATAGTTAGCCAACCTTCAGCGTTAATATCAAATTGAAAACCACCATCTAGTGTTTGCGGTTATGACATCACTAGTGTTGTACATTTAATGCTTCTTCTTTTTTCATTGTAATTTCATATAGACGAATATATGTATACATATATTGTATTTCTGCCTATATGTATATTCGTATAGTGATTTTGTATTTATATTCGCAAGCTTTCAAATTTAAATTGACTTAATTAAAAGTCACGAAATTCTCAAAACAAAAAGCATTTTTTCAAACTTCGCTTCAGTGAATCATCGAAAATCGTTTTATTTACTTTTTGTACGCTAAATTTATTTTAAATATAAATAACTTATTTGTGTACATTTAAATGAAGCACGCAAAACACTTTCATTGACTCGGTAATGAGCTTTTGTTGGCTGTAAAACCGATGGAACAAAAGTACAAAAAAAAAATAATTCAACATGCGTATATACATACATACAGGCAGTTAATTCTTTACATACATACATAGATTTCATTGATTTTTTTAATTCAACGCTTATGGCCTATTCTTCTTTATAAGTTTTCTCTTCACACTCACCACACCATTTTGTTTTATTGTCCCAAAATAACGCAAACATTTTTAGAAAGTGTTCATGTTAATGCGATTAATTTAACATTCAAGCTATGAACTTCCAGAGAATGTCTATGCTGAACAAAGCAACATAAAGAATTCGCAAGTGATTTTGAAAATTTCATTCAGAATTTTGTGTTTTAGAATATATTTATTTCCATAACTTTTCCAATATTTATTTTGCACACAACACACAATCTCAAAAACGAGTTCCAGCTTTTGGTAATTGCCATTTGCACTGTTGCCAATTTTCAGCTACTTAATTTGTAAATTAAATAAATTAGAATCGAAACACTTTTAGTAAAATTTATTTATCGCGCTTGTGTGCGATATAGACACATACATTCCATGTACGCACATACAAACATATATAACATTCTATACACATTATTTTGACAATAAACAGCACTGCTTATATCATATATCCATTTAATGTATGTATGTACATTTCTAAAATTCGAATATATTCCAAAACGCTTAAAATTTTAAAATTTTGCGTTAGTTTTGTGAAATCGCAAATACAATATTCATTTTGTTCGAAAGCATGTGCAGTATATACATACACACAGCAACAAATAGTTCAGAAGAAAGAAATTGTTGTTTATTTATGAAACGACGGGCAAGCTTCTGGTGGAAATCATTAAAAATAAATTTTTTATTATGTTATTTTCTTAACACTTCATTAAATTATACTCAAAATTTGACGTGCGTACTTGAAGATGTATGAAGAGTATTGAGTGAAATATTTGCGTGGAATTTTTTTCACACACTTTGGTAATGGTTTTGAGGTTAGGTTTGTGGGGAGTGCGGAATACTTTAAATTAAAATATACACTGCCCATTATACTATTAATAATATTATTATAAGCGCTGGAACCAATTTTGAGAGAGTCGTATTTTCAATAATGCACCTTTATCAGCTTTTTTGACGTTTTTGAGGTTAGTTTTGTATGAATGAGATGTTTTAAAATAAAATAATGCTGACCAATAACGGGGTGTGAACTAACAATATTGTTCTAAATATCCAGATACAATTTTGTAATATTTTTTTTAACGGCTTACATTTATAGCATTTTTCTACGTTTTTTTTGAGGTGACTTGTTTTAAAAGAATTAAATTTTTTTTATTTTCTAAAAATATAATATACTGTTTTGAATTTACAGAAAAAAATCTGAGTAATTAATTCAACGGTAGACGTCTTATAGGTTTTTGTTTGCATTTTTGAGGTTAGGTTTGTATAGGTGCCTTGTTTTAACTGAAATCAGTTATATTTATTTTCTGAAAACTCCTCACTAATATTATTTTGAATTTACAGAAAAAAAATTCAGAGTAATTTATTCAACGATAGACGTTTTGCAGTTTTATTTGGCATTTTTTAGGTTAGATTTGTGTGGGAAACCTGACTTAAAATAAACCAATTATACATATTACATTATTTTTGACATTTTCGAATTTATGGTAAGTTTTAGCTGCTCTTTTCGAAAATCTTCATATTTATATAAGTGTGTATTTACGAAATTTAAATGCGTACAAATATACACATATACATAAAAGCATGTGAACATGATTAAATTGGCGCCCCAAAACGTTCTTGACGCTCGCTCCAGCAAGGCCACAGAATTTTGAACTTTTAACCCAATTTGATGTGGTGTTTAGTGAGAAATGTATAAAATTTACACCGAATCATGTAGCCAAAACAAACAAACAAACAAACAACAAATATGACCATGGCGGATTGCTGCTTGAATATTATATATGAATGTACATGTGTATAATTATGCGTGCATATTCCTACATACACATATTTACGTGAATATCGCGTGTGGCTTTCTTTGGCAGTGAGCCAAGTGGTTACAGAAAAACGAAAGGCCAACAAAAAGAAAAATATGAAAACATCAAAATTTTCAAGCATATTGCATGACATTTGTCACATCTTTTCCGGCGCATACAGTTGCCAACAAAAACAAACAAAAGCGTGGCGAAGGAAAATGAAATTAATGTAAATCCATAATTTTGGAAAAATATTTGGCATATCATGCAAATTCTGTATTGGAGGAAATTTCATTCACAAGCTGTATTTGTTTAGACACACATATGTACATATGTATGTATATATGCATGTATTTATATTTGTATTTTTGTTGTTATTGCACAAGAAAAGTGAAAATGAGCAGAAATAGAAATTTTATGTACAAATTTTACACCCCATCATCGCTGTTTATATACATACATACGTGTACGTACCACTTTCAATTGACCACAATTTTACTTTTGCCCCAATTCCTCCGTTGCACAAATTTTACGAGTGAGGAATTGTTTTCACCGGTTCGTTGCATAGCGACATGTCGCTTCGGCGCACTTACTTCGTACATATGTACTTATTAGTGTATGTATATACATATATTTTTTTTTTAGATATATCATTACTCGAACTAGTCAACAGTGCCCCCATAGCCCTAAGTCTGTTCCACGTCACACCGTGAGGTCATCAACGCCATCGCAATCACTCAAGCATTGCTATCACCAATCATTATGTATGCATATTTAAGTATACATGTAGACATACACATATATAATACAAACTTAAATGCACCCAACTGAGCGTCTCATATGCTCGAGTGTACAACTTGTGGCATAGTTGGACAAGAATTTCTTTTATTCAAGTGTGCGGCACGCGCTTTTACTGACTACAATGGATAATTGCATTCTCAAGTATGTCAGGAATATAATAAATTTGTATGCCCATACTCGTACATACAAACATAATATACAAATTTATGCCCACATTTTATAAATGAAGTGACATAGTCAAGCTGACGTCCTTCGTCTTGCTGGCCACCCTAAATTGCGCTTTTGTAGGCGCTTTTGCTCTTACTATTGGGTTAGTAATCCACATTTCCTTTTAACCGACACAATGTATCCAGTTTACGGTGCATATGCCATGCATTTGTGGGCTATTTCCCATCGCGTGACATTTAATTGTTATTACATATTTATATACATGTATACTTTTATGTATAACATAGGTATGTGCTTAGTTGAACATTACCACCCACCTTTTTGTTATTTCGAATAAACACCCAAAAGCCTCATAAACGGCAGGTGTGTCCTGTTTTGCTTCGATACTGGCATATGTACATATGTATGTATGTATTTGAGCGGCCGGTTACATTTTCGTCGTTCTCTGCTTCAAGTAAACGGAAACTAAACGTACTTTAAGTGCCCCTAAACCATGCAGGCCCGCTAGAAACAAAGTAGCTGGATAATGAAGAGTGATGGCCAAGTTTTTGCGACGTCATAATGGGTCTTAATAAGGCACCATCTAGACCATATGGTGGAACGATAGCCGCTACAACCTAACCTAACCTAAATAATCTTGCTTCTAATTACAAATGAACGTTTGAAGGGATGCCTTTGGAAAACAGTTCTTTTTCTTGTCCCGTGCGAATTTTCATGCATACATGCATGCCTAGATGTTTGCCAGCTCCAGGATCGACTGAAAAACGCTAGTTCCTAAGTTGTTTAAGCTAGGCTTAGAAAAGTACATCTCATAGCGCTTAATCAACAGCCGTCGAAATAACGGAACGGTCATCCCGCACCGCTACTCCAATCGACAAGAGTTCTTTTTTGTTGGACAATTGCCACTTTGCGCGATGTTGAGCTAAAAATAAAACTGCTTGATGACCAAGTTTTCATGCAAAAAAGTGAGGTATGTTGATCCCACTACTATTTTTCCTTCTTTTTATTAGCGAGCTAAGTCTGACAGGTATGGGG